GCTTTCCAATTCTCTGCTTAGGAAAACGTCTTGGCTTACGTTTGACCATGCGTGGTGCAGATTGTAATAGCTTTCTCTTAGAGTTATGAAGAGTAAGTGAGATCATCCATATCATACGCCACAAAATGAGATGTTGTCATCGGTATGATCCAGTCATTATCATTGTCGTCATCATTAAGGCAACAGCATTACAAATCTTCTCTTGTGCTTGAACCTTGAATATGCTGAAAATCCACAAAATAAAAAGCAGAAACCAGCTGTTTCACCCTCTTCTAAGCGAGCTACATTAAAAAAAAATCTTAAGCTGAATCTGGTTCTTAAAATAAATTAGAACGAAGGCCAAAAATGTTCCAAATGGCATCACTAGGGGCTTTGAATGTGGATGGAGCAATAATGATGAAAATTTTTTAAAAATGAAAGAAAAATGCCTCTGATTCCAAGGTCACACAGCATCAGGGACGAGGAAATCTCCCAGTGGCAGCTGCTGTCAACCTCAGAGGGACAGCAAGGTGGCCACGTCCGCAGTCAGCAAGCCCTGCATGTTTTGCATACGCCATCCTACCCGGCATGCCTCTTGGCTCGATGGGATTCTTCAGGCTAATTCCATTTATGTGTGGAGCCTGGAGTGTCCACATTTTAGAACATTTCCTACAAACAAATAACAGAGGTGAGGAGCTTAAATAAAGGAGAAGCAGCCACGATGGCCATTGAGGGGTGGAAGGGAGCATCTCAATGCAGAGCCCGATGGCTTGGATGGCTTCATTTTCAGCAGAGAAGAGCAGGCATTGGAGCCATCAGAAGACAAGGGCTTTAGAGATGCTGTAAATCTCTGTACCCTCTGCATGCCTCTGGGGCTCAGTTTGGGCTGGTTTCAGAAGCCAGACTTAAAGACTTCATGCTTCTGATCTTACTCTAACCACTATCAAAAAGAGGAGAGGGGAGGAAAATATTTGTGGACATGAAAATTGGAGATGATGAGTAGTCAACAACAAAAAAGGAGGGCCTAATAGCATAAATGTGCCCCATGACTTTGTCCTGAATTCACCATCCTGTCGTCATGGATCACAACACAGCCACTGTGCCTGATAAGATGAGGAACGCTGCTATGGGCTGTTATGTTTCCCCCTAAGGATATGCTGAGATCCTAACTCCCAGTACCTCAGAACTGACCTTATTTGTAGAGAGGATTTCTCTTTTTACTTTTTGTTTTTGGTACTGGGTACCAAACTCAGGGAGAGAGGATTTCTGCAGAGCCAATCCAGTGAGGAGGACATTCTCAGGGTGGGCTCTGATCCAACATGACTGGTATCCATACAAAACAGGGAAATCTGGACACAGGCATATACAAAAGAAGAATGCCATGGGCAGATGGGGGCACAAGCTGAGTGGCTTGTGTATAAGCTGAGGAACACTGAGGATGACCAGTAAGCCACTGGACCTAGGGACCAGGCATGGGACAGATTCTCTCTCTGAGCTTTGGAAGAAACCAACCCAGCAAACACCTGGATCTTGACCTCAGCCTCCACATCTGAGAGATGATAAATGTCTGTGGTCCAAGCCCTCCAGTCTGTGGCATTTTTTACAGAGCCCTAGGGAATGGATCCAATGGATCCCACAGTTGTCGACACTAGGTGACCATAACCAGGCAGGACAGCAAGGACAAGGGACAGCTGCTGGGAGGACATCTCTGTGTAATATTTCTCTGGCTAGCCAGGTGTGGTGGTACACTCCCGCAATCCCAGCACTCTGGAGGCTGAGGCAGGAGGATGGCCGAAAGTTCAAGGTCAGCCTGGGCGACATAGCAAGACCTTGTCTCAAAAACAAACAAAATACTTCTCTGGCCAAAGCTGCTCTGAGAGGCTGGCTGTATCACAGGTGCTAATGTACGTGCACTGGAGACAGCAGAAACAACCTAAGTGTGAGAATAAACAGCAGGGGGACGTGACAGCTAGGTCATGAGATACAACTGCAAAAACACCCTTCTCTCTAAATTATTTGAAAGGCACTTGGTTTTCAGGCCCTTGTCCACAGCGAGTGACTTCCAGGGAAGTTATATCCACGGGAGGAGGATGGGCAACCTTTGCTTTCTTTCTGCCACTTCTCCAGTCGCCTTTTCCTTAGCCTTTAGATGATCAAATGCTATTTGCTGAACTAGTTCATATATGTTTTGGACTCTATGGGTTAGGGAAGATTAGATTACTGTCTTCAAAATGCTTAAAATAGAGCAGGAAGCTAAGTGTCTTTGTTTTCTGTTGCTATAACACAACATCCGAGGCTGGGAACTTAAAAAGTAAAGAGGTTGGTGTGGCTCGTGGCTTGTGGTGGCAGGAGGGTACACAGGCCTCCTGGGTGGATGAGTAGAAAGGAAGCAGGCCATGTGCCGAAGGGAGAGAAAGGCCATGTGGCACAACAGGAAGCAAGGAACCAGACTTCATATTTTTGTTGATAACAACCTGCCTTTGGGGAGCTAATCTACTGCTACTAGCCCTGACCAACTGTCTCAGTCACTTTCCTCATTGCTGGGACAATTTGTCCAACGCCTAGGTTCATTTTGGCCCACAGTCTGTAGGGTTCCAGTCCATAACCAGCTGGCTGTCAGGCAAGGGCTGGTAGAGGGACCTGGGCGGAGGAAAGCTGCTCAGGCATGGTGCCCTGGGAACAGAGAGAGAAGGGAGGAGCCTGGGAGGCTGCCTGCTGCGGTCACTGGTGGTCCCCACCCTGCCCTCTGGGTCCTCTGCTGCGCTGAATAGTCAACAGTAAAGAGTTTAATTTGGTTCATGACCTTCCAGTCAGTGTTTCTAAAGTATTATTATCAATCTGAGGCCCTTTAGCAGGATTTAGTAGCTATCCTTTATTACCTTTAGAAAGTTCTCTTCTGTCCTTAGTTTTCTCAGATTTTTAAAAAAGAAAATCATGAATGTAGTTGAATTTTATCAAATATCTTTTAAAAAAAATCTGCCTGAGATCTTTTTCTCCTATATTGTTTAATAGGCTTGGATGAATAGCTTTTATGACATTTAATCATTCATCTGATCCTAGGAAAATCCCAGTGGGTCACGATGGTTATTTTTGCGTGTGCTGAGTGACAGTTAAGCTTTGTAAAAATGGCTTCCACAGATCCCCCACCTCGCTGGCTGTTCCAACAGCATGGGGTTTTCCATCTTCCTTTGAATCCTCTGTGGGATTCTGAATGCTCCATGGCTGTGGTGGCTTCCCGTCTGGCCATGCGAGGTGGGCTGCTTCTCTGGACAGCACCTGGTCAGAAAGTCCCCGGCCCCGCCGAGACTCGAATGGAGCAGCGTGGTCTCCAGCCTCAGCCAAGGCCCAGCACCCTGAGGGGTGGTGGGCCCCAGCCAGGCCACTTCAGCTCACTCGGTGACCGGGGACACGTGGGCAGGTGTGCTGGGGCGTCACCCACCGCTTACCTCTCAGCCTTGAGAGCAACGTGAGATGCGGAAGTCACATTTGTCGTAACTGATACGTGAAACCTGATTCTGTTTGCTGATATTTTAATATTTTTGCACCTACTTCCATAAGGAAGATCGACCAACATTTTTCCCCACTGTCCTTGAAGGTTGATTTTCATATCAAAGCCACACCATGCTTTCAAAGGGAGATGAGATGTGTTTCTATTTTTTCTAGTCTCTGTCTATGTCTGGGGATGTAAGACCGAGGGCCTTACCAAACGCTCCGAGGAGCTGAAGTGGAGCACACCCGGGGATCCCAGCGGTGCCTCCAGAATGTAAGACCAAAGGCCTTACCAAACGCTCCGAGGAGCTGGAGTGAAGCACACCCGGGAAGGAACACACCGGCCATGTTGGGAAACAGACCTTTATTAGTCTGGCCGGACGGCACTCCTGAAGCAAAATAGCTCAGAGAGGCACCTGGCTCAGAGTCCGAGGTTGTTTTATAGGGGGTTAAGGGGTGGGGTTTAACATGTGGATTCACAGAAAAAAACAACAACAAAGGTTAGTGGCTCATTGTCACATGCTGATGTTCAGCAGACATCCTGACTGACAGTTACGACCACCCTGTTTACAGATTGTCCTATAGATACTGGGCCCCGGGACATTTGGATTTAGGGCGAACAGATGGCTGAGTAACCTCGCCCTATTACTGATTGTCCATTGTCCCGAGGCAAACACACTCCAACCATCAAATTTACACCAGAATCTAGGGGAGTAATTAACTTTTGAATCACACAGTCCCACAGGGAAGTTTGAAATTATTTGTTCTTAATGTTTGGTTTAAAAAGCCCCTTGTGTAGAAAGCCGCTAGGGCTTACACATTTTCTTTCTTTGAAGGAGATTTTCGCTCACTGGGAAGTTTATTGAAAGGGGATGGGCTCTACTCTGATTTCCTACGTCAGTTCTTTTGGACTTTCTTAGAAAATTGTTCATATCCTCCAAGTTTTCAAAATTACGAACATGCATACAAGTTTGGCTGTGACTGAGTTGGATCTCCTTCCTCGTTTGTATGTATTTTCTCTTCTTTCTGGTTCCTTCCTGAGACTGGACACAAGGATGTTTCTTTGGTTCAACATTTGACGAGGCAGCTTTCCTTTGCTGTTCATCTTTCTAGCTTCTAAGGCCACCGTAAAGAAAACCAATGAACTAACTTTCATCTTTGTCAATGCCTCTCTCCTCCCTTCAGTACTGAGGATTGAAGCCGGGACAATCAGCTACATTCCCATCTATCTATCATCTATCTATCTATCTATCTGTTTATCTTGATACAGGGTCTCGAAGGGTTGCTAAATTGTCCTGGGCTCTAACTTGCAAGCCTCCAGCCTCAGATCCTGCCTGGCTCACTATTTGTCTTTACTTTTATCATTCCCTTCAATAAATATTCTGTATGAGTGATTTCTCTTGATTTCTTTTTCTTTTTAAAATGCACCCTTAGCTTACTATTCCTCGGCTGTTTGTGGTCTGGGGATCGCTGCACACGCAGACCGCCAACCTAGGCGGCCGTAAGCCCCGCCCACTCTCCCCGCCCCCGGAAGCGGAAGTGGCTTCGGCCCGGGCGGAAGCAGGAAGTGGCGAGCAGGGCGACCCCTGAGACCCTCCGGGCGGCGGCAGAGCTGGGCGGGCGCCGGGCAGATGGCGGAGAAGTTTGACCACCTGGAGGAGCACCTGGAGAAGTTCGTGGAGAACATCCGGCAGCTCGGCATCATCGTCAGCGACTTCCAGCCCAGCAGCCAGACCGGGCTCAACCAGAAGCTGTGAGTGGCGGTCGGGGCCGGCGTCCCTGCGTACCCCGCGGGCACCGGCCGTAGCCACGCAGACGGCCGACCCGGAGTTAAGTGAGGCGGTGTCAGGCGGCGGGGCCCGCGCTGTAGAGGCAGAAAGAAGCAGGCACGAAGGCTGATCAGAAACGTGGCGTACGTTTAAAGTTTTAAACATTTGTTACAGTAGAAGACATCGCCGCGAGTCCCCCCGAGCGAGCACTGCCTCTCGCTTCTAACACACTTATCCCATCGCTCTTGTCACTTTCTGAAGCAGCCCTGGGAGTCTTCTTTTGTCAGTGCCTTTGTACAGGCGTGATCAGAAATAGAAATGCATGAGTGCTGCTGCCCAGTGAAATCCAACAGAAAGGCAGACTCATAAAACCTTTAGGCTGGGTCGTCATCCATCTTATTCATAGATCAGGCACTGAGCGACTTCTGGCTCATCTCAAAGTTAAAATGACCATGAAAGGGAAACTTGAGTTGATTTAGCACCTAGAGGCTGCCAGGACAGCACAACTAGAGACACTGAAGAAAGAAGACTCCCAGATGCTGCAGAAGATGGCAAGAACTATGGGATGAGGGTGTTCAAAGCGAGCGGAATATTTTGAGAGGGATTCGTGGCCATGTATCTTTACTGTAAGAAATTTTAAAAAAATCAAAACCTTAACTGTATTGATCACATTCATGTACAGAATGCTCTGGAGAAGGGCTCACCGCTTTACATGGGGCCCAGATATGCTGCTGAGTGCTGTAGGAATGACCAGGGGTCTGGGCTGCTGGCTGGCCTAGCGTGGCCGGGAGGGAGCTGAAGTTAAACTGCACAGGATATTTCTTCCCTCAGAGTCTGCATGCCAGTGTTGAAGCAGGAGCCTCCTGTAGTGGTCACTAACCCTATACAAAGTCATACGCAGAACTGGGTTTCTGTTTTTGAGAGGTTCCTATTTTCATTTGAATCTCAAAAAGCTGCCTCCTCCATACTGGCTTTCCCTAGTTTAAAAGGAAAAATCAAATATTTGAGGGCACTGTATTTTATAACTTGGCCTTTGTGAGCTGTGTGTTGTTAGAGCACTGGTGTGGCCTGGTGGCCCTGTAGAGGTGCTTAAGCTGCCTCTGGAATTAACCAAATGCCTGTTTTTGCCTTTCTGCAGGAATTTCATCGTTACCGGCTTACAGGATATTGATAAGTGCAGGCAGCAGCTTCATGACATTACTGTTCCTTTGGAAGTCTTTGAGTAAGTAGTACTCTTGCCTTAATCTTGGGTGTAACCTTCAGGTCCAGTGTTTTCCCGAGAGGTAAACAGCCTTTATGTAGGCTTTGCCGGAAACTGAGACAGGGACGTGACCGCTAGACACCCCTGGGGAGCAGCCGGTGTTTGAGCTGAGGGCAGGGCGTTACTGCTCTTGGGAAGGAGAGAGGTCCAGGTCCAAGGGCCCCTTCCTCCCTGGAGTGCCTGTGCCCTGCACGGCCTTGGCCCGGAGCACCTGCCGGAAAGGAAGTGCTAGGTTTCATCCCACTCTTCGGCCGCATCTGGGTTCACAGGTGGAAGGACTGAGGGCAGCGTCGGGGTTGCTTGGCGCCTGCAGGGCAGAGCTGAGGCTGAACCCTGGGAATCGCCCCTGTGCCTGTCGTTTGCTCTGCAGCACAGCCTTACCCTCCCGGCTCCGAGCGGCCAGAGCATCCTAGTGTGTTTGGCACTGAGACTTGCACTAGACTTCTTTGCACAACACAGGGAAAGCTGTGGTCGTGTTTCACCCCGAAAGGCAGAGGAGATACAAGTTCTGGTTAGAACACAGCTCTGCAGCTGCCACCGAGGCAGAATACGCAGGCTGTGGTGCTCATGGTCTCTGCTGCTCCCTCGGCCTGCTGGCACCCACCAGCGCTCCCTGCCTGTTCTCCATCAGTGCACCCCACCGAGCCCTGTGCCACGCAGCTGGCACCCGCACTGGTGGCACCTTTCTGGGCTCTCAGGCTTTGGCAGGGATGGAAGAGTCTTTATCAGTGCAGCTCTGGCTGTGAATCCGTGTGGTGGGTGCAGTGACAGGAGCCACTAATGGCTCACAGCTGATGCAGTGGGGCCGATGGGAGCAGGGCTGAGGGGAGGAGATTGCTCGGGGCAGCGGAAGCAGCCAAGGTGGTGGGCGGGGGGGTGGCACGGGGATGAGTCTGGGGTCTCGGAAGGAGGCGGTGGGCTCCTGGCAGCAAATGCTGGGGCTTCTGCACACTGCCAGTGGCGTGGGCTCGGGACAGGAGGAGCCGGCAGGTCCCTGTGGCGTTGTTAGCAGACTCGTGGAGACTGACACCAAGACAGAAATAAAGCTCGGCCCTGCCCTTGGCCTCTCGAGAGCTTGTGTGCTGGCAGGGGCAGGAGCTGCTCCCAGACTGAGCCAGATGCGTGTCCAGTGTGAGCCTGTCTGCTCTTTCCTTCTCATTTCCTGAAAAGGGGATGCATTTTATTTTGATTGAAATGAAATTTTTTCTCATTACATCATTTCACAAACATTAAAATAAAATGGAATTTCGAGAAATTGTTATTTATGTTCTCCTATCAGTGATAGAGGGCAGGTTTTATACCATTACTGCCACTTAATGGTTCCACTAACCCAAAGTGGTTATACCATGTTTTGTCCTATTTTTAAGTAAATAAATAGATAGGACTCAGAGTTAGTGTGATGTGTTTTAAAAAATAGTTTCTATAATGAATAATTCAGTTTAGCTAAATGATAGGATGTCCTCACAACACAGAAATGAGCAGGTTGTCTGTATTTGTAAAATTCAGATGTTGACCTAGGCAGTATGATTTATGGAATCTTCAGGGTAATGGTGATATCTTGGGGAGAAGTGTTGAACTGTCAGGAAACAATTTTGCACTGCTTAGAAATAATTGGAGAGAATCTCTCGTTTTTCAGCTACTTAGTGTAGTAAAAAGTAATATTGATTCATCCCTTCTCATTTTTAAAGCATTGGAGAGTTTGTAAAATGACTCGGGGCAGCCAGGGCTGGGGCCTTTCTGCCTGTGGCTGTCCCCTCTGTTCCCTCTTGGTGGCCCCTGAAGCCCTCCACACTGCGTCCTGAGCCTCGGGGCGGTCCTGGAGGGGCCACCATAGCTTAGTGGAGCCCTCTGTCCCGGAGGCCTGAACCCCTGCACCGGCACCCCTGCTTGTCTGTCTGGAGCTTCCTTGCCATGCTGGCTGTTGTGGGCTCACAGAGGTCACAGCATGACAGCATTTGGGGACGTCAGGTGCTGTGCTGTGGGAAGCTTGTCTGGGTTTGGTTTCCTGAGCTCTTCTAAGAAACAAGAAGAGATGCGGTGGAAATGAGAGTCCCAGTCCTTCTGGCTCCCGCAGGGCCATGGGAGGGCCAGGTGGTGACCTTGTGTCTGGCTGTAGTGCCCAGACGACTGGAGAATCGGCTTCCCCTGAGCATTTGATTGGGATGTTGCCTGTTCCAGGTACATCGATCAAGGTCGGAACCCACAGCTCTACACCAAGGAGTGTCTGGAGAGGGCTCTAGCCAAAAATGAGCAAGTGAAAGGCAAGATCGACACGATGAAGGTGAGACTCATGAAGAGCAAGTGCTGTGAGAACGCGCACTCAGGAGACCTTACCCACAGACTGCTGCTCTTCTGTGTGCTCGGTAGCCTCCCTGTGGGGAAGACCTAGGTTAATTTGGCGACCGCAATCATCACCGGCTACCTGGGTGTTTTCCGTTAGTCTGCTCGGGAGCTTTGCCCTGTGTTAGTATTGACGCTTTCTCTTTCCTCCTGTACTGATTCTGGCTGCTCTACTCGAGGAGGACAGACGACAGCTGTGTGAGCAGCGAGCCGTGGTGTCTCAGTGCTCGAGGCCCCGGTGAAGGTGACTGAGTTGTCACCAACAGCATCACCCTCCCTGTGGAGTCTGGCACCTGGCCTGGCTGCCCAGTGAGCTCCAGGCTCTGGCCCTGCAGGGGCGTCCTGCGGCTGGGACCAGGGAGTCTGCTTTATCTGCCCCTCACGCGTGCTGCTCGAGTCCTCTGAGGGTCTCAGGTCCCAGTTGTGGCCGCCTCCTGCCAGTGGACCTCTGTATGTTCCATCTTAAATGACTTAGTAGTCACGTAGTGGCAGACTGGAGGGGCTCTGGGAATGGACTTTGAAGTGGCCTGTTTCCATGCCTGAGCACCGCCTGTAAGAACAGTTTTGCCTGCTGGTAGAGTTAACTGCTCCTAAGGTTGGATTGCAGCAAACTTGGCAGTGAGTCGCCTCCAAAGCCTTGGGGTTTGCGGTAGATAACGTGCTGCTGATCTGCGTGCTGCTCACTGAGCTCTTTGCACACAGTGTTTAGTGTGGTTCCAGTGAGTGAGGGCGCAGCTAAGTATCACTTGAGGCTCCTGTTCCGTGCGCTGCCTGTAGAGCCATCCCACCTGCAGCTGCACATGCGCTTCCGTGACTGGTCCCCAGCCCTGTGTGCACTGGGGGAGCAGCTGCACAGCAGGCGCACGGCAGCTGTCCCTGGTCTCCTGGAGAAGAGCCTGGTTCCTGCTCCTCTGGGGACCTGGCTGAATTTTGAGGGCTCCTTTGGGCGGTGTCTTGGGTCGCAAATGCAAATGTTTTGACAGTGTGTATTTTTCTTCTTAGAAATTTAAAAGCCTGTTGATTCAAGAGCTTTCCAAAGTATTTCCGGAAGACATGGCTAAGTACCGGAGCATCCGGGGGGAGGACCACCCGCCATCCTGTGTGTGACACCCCAGGTCAGCGTGAATTCCCAGGACTGTTGGCGTCCATCCTCCTTCCCGACGTGGACTGGGCTATCCCCACCCCCACTGATCGTGTGACCTTGGGATGGCTGAGCTGGAGAGGCCTAAGCTGTGGGCTGCTGTCCTGGAGCCCTCAGCCTGGAGGTCCTGGTCCTCAGAGACAGCACAGGACACAGCCTTGGAAATAGTCCATATGCTCGATAAATTGAAAATTTAAAAATGCCATTTGAATTTTTTATGTATTCTTTCTGTCCTGTTCTACTGTGGCATCAGAAAGCTAAAAAAAATGTTTTTGTATTTTACATTTTCAAGTGCAGTGCATAAGACTATGCAACTGTTCATAATTTCAATTAGACATGTGGATAGTAAAGTCTTTTTTACCTATTTATATGGCTCTTTCCATGTAATTATTTTCTTCGTATTTTTACAAGACATTGCAGCATATCTTATGAACACAATTATTACTTCCTCAAAGTGTTAGTAATAATCATGAGAGAAATTTTTTTCTCTCTGGGCATATGAAAGGCAGGAAAAGCTAGAACGAAATGCAGAATTTTCACGTTTTTCTCCAATTCTTTGGAGACCCTGAGAAGCACTAAAGAACAGTTAGCCACAGATGCTTTTGGAACTCGGAAGATGCCCCAGGCCACTGCACTGCAGCTTCGGGGTGCGCTGGGCACATGGGAGCTGTAGACCGCGCTCCGGACTCGGCACGGGTGGCAGAGCTGCCCTCTCGGCCCCGGGAGCCCTGCTCTGGGCTGGGCAGGACCCGTTCCTCAGAGTGCAGAGGTCCAGTTCTGTGCTCTGCAGTCAGGCTTGGGCTGGGCCAGGGACCTTCACAGGTCCCTGCTTCCCCCTGTTGCCCGGCCTGCTGACAAGTGGGCAGTGTGACACGGGCCTTGGCCCGGGCCGCTCGGACAGCATGAGGTCACCTCACTGCTCCGGGCCGGGAGTCAGTGTCCCCACTGAGAAGGGACAGGTGTTCTCTGCTCTGCTGCTGCTAGAGCAAGAGCAAGGGGCTGTGGCTCAGGTTGTGGCCTCTAACAGTGCTGCGCAGTGGTGACAGTGAGGAACCTGCGAGAGACAGATGGGAAGCTGCGCTGGTTCCCACCACACTGCCTGAGGCCTCGCACATACCCTGGGAGGCGGAGGCAGGAAAATCCCAAGTTTGAGCCCAGCCCGGGCAATTTAGCAACCTAGTCCTTGTCTCAAAAAAAGGCTGGGGCCGTAGCGCTGTGTGAAGGCCCTGGGTCAGTCCCCAGCCCCACCCTAAATAACCGGAAACTCCCCACAACGTGCTGTTCAGGAACCATGACAGCGAGGGATTCCTGAGGCGGTCTGCCTGTGGCTGTCACATGCCAGTCGTGAGCCCTCTCAGCGGCTGTCTGGTACCCTCTTCTCTTGGCCCGAGGCTGTGCCCTCCTGCCCCTTCGGCCTTGGCTTCCTTGGGAGCAGCCTGCCTGGTCCTACACAGGCAGGTTCATCCATTTCCTGGCCCCAGGCACCATCTTGGGCTGAGATCCTGGGTTCACTCTGCCCATCCATCCTGAGTCCTGCCTGTCACCATCCCAACTTCTGGTTGCTGTCCAGGAGACTTCCCAGGAGTCTGAGACGTGGTGCCCCAGAACTGGACTGACCTCTTCCACTACCTCGTTTCCCCCGGCAAATGGTGCCACCTTCTGGCTGTACCACCTTCCGTTCTGTCCCTCCCACTTGTGTCCTTGCAGCAAAGCCGTGGCTGGGTCTCCTGAATTTCCCATTTTTCTCTTTCCCCCTCTTGACCAGCTCTGCTGGCCTTTCCTCTCCCAGTCTGCCACATGCATGCCCTGTGGATGCCTGTGTCACACTTCACCCCCTGGCCTGGCCCTCGGCCCACTCAGGTTGCAGGGTGAAAGGCTCTGACAAGAAAAAGCTCCCCCAAAGCCCCCAGGAGAACTGTGGCCCTGCAGAAATCTTGATGTTAGGACCTCTGGGTCCAGAGCTGCACGGAAATAGATTCCCATTGTTAGGCGTGTGGTGATGTCTTACAGCAGCGAAGAGAAAGGAACACCCCGCTTGCCCAAGCAGGTAAGGGACACGAGAGAGAAGAGGCCGACTCTTTACTGTTTTTGAAAATACGAGTGTCTAGTTGTGCTGTCCTGGCTGCCTCAATGTCCTGAATTGTTTCAAAACATTTCCCTTTCATGGTCATTTTGACTTTGGGGCAGAGCCAGAGGTAGCACGGTGCCAGTTCAGTGAGTAAGGTGGTTGAGGACACACTAATCATTGTACCAGTCTGGCTTTCCATTGGATAGCTCACAGCAGCAGCATTCACCACATTTTTGATCATGAAGACTCAGGAAAAAGGACTGCAGAACTGTTTCAGAAAGTGGCAAAAATGATGGGATGTATGTGTCATAAGTGACAAGGAGGACTTCGAGGGGGGATAAGGCAGTCTATCTTTTACTATATAATAAAATCTTTTAAAATTCTACTTTTACTGTATTTCTGATCCCTGTGTTCGGAGGAGGAGCCCTTGCGGTGGAAGGGACAGCTGAGAGTCCTGCGTCCCCAGGTCCCTGCGTGCTGCCCTCGGTTGGTTCCTGGGGCTGCAGTCAAAACAGCCATGCACTGGGCTGTAAAGCGGCCCGGATTTGCCTGCACCCCGGCCTGGAGGTCAGGGCTTCTCTGACTGCCCCTGGAGGCTCCTTCCTGCCTCTTCAGCTCCAGTGGCTGCAGCGCTCCTGGGCCACAGCTGCATCTTCGCTGTCTCTGCCATGTCTCTCCTCTGGGATCCCCTCTAGATCTTTTCCAGATAAGGCTGCAGTCAGACTCCCGGTGGACACAGCCTGTGGGGGTGCCACCACCCAGCCCTGTCCACTGCCATCTCCTCGGGTCTGGCCATCAGACACCTCTTTCCCAGGTCGAGTGGCCTTGCCGGGCTGGGCAGGTCTCAGCCTGTGCTCCAGGCCCGCTGGGGCTCAGCTGCTCCCATGGCAATGTGCTCTGCTCTTCCCAGCCTTATGCATGGCCTGAGAGTTGCCAGAGTAGACCAAGCCTGGCAGAAACACTGCCTTCAAGCCTGTCCACACAGGCAGAAGAAACCATTTGTCTTCTCTCTCTGACTTGAAGGGAAAGGAGCAGTATTGTGGGTGAGTGGGAACCCAAAGCTGAGAGCAGGAATCGTGGACAGCCTTGAGACTCACATGCTTCAGGAGAACCTCATTATTGCAGATTTGCTGAGGGCAGGACAGGTGGAGATGTGCAGGCACAATCGGGCAGTGCAGGAAGGAGCTGCCAGTGAGGGCAGCCGGGCACTGTGGGGTCCATCGGGGAGCCCAGGGCGGGGTGTGGAGGGCATTCGCGGTCTCCCTGGCAGAGCGAGAGCAGGATGCTCGCATCTGGCTCCCTGCAAGGGGAAAGGCTGGGTATGAAGATGTGGCTTCCGCCTCGGGTACTGAACCCCGGGTACACACCAGGGCTCTCTTCCTAAGCTGGGGAGCACAGGCTCAGAGACGTGGCACACATGGGCCATTTCTTCTTGGAAGTTTGGTGTGTGTGGCAAACACATAGAGATGGGATGCGCGTGTCCTTAAGTGCGAACGAACGCGTCAGGAATGCAGGAGGCTGGTCCTGGTCTGGGGGCCGTTGCTGGTGCAGTGACTCCCGTGACAGACCACAGCGCTCTACTGCACAGCGGCAGATTCTTCCTTGCGGCTCCTGCGGGGACAGCGCCCCCAGACGTCTGCACGCTCCAGCATCAAGCAGACTAAAGGGTGGGGCAGTTCTGTCCTGAGGTCCATGTCTGCTCCAGGAGTTTGGCAGACAGGACATCAGTATCTTGGGCGAATACAGTTAACCCTTCTGTTCCTGCAGGGCAGGACCCCAGGCTCCGGGCTGGCTGAGGCACTGGCCTCATGCAGTGTCGGGCCTGGTGGCTCTGTTCGCCCTGAAGCCTTCGTGCTTGCTGCCCTGATGGGCTTCTTGGGGCTGCTGTCTCAGACCCCTGCATTTTGGCCTGGGGTGTGAGCTCAGGAGCTGCAACTGGGCCACAATCCACGCTTCCTCCAAAATCACTCTCTGGAACCACCCACGTTGACCCATTTGATGGTGACCTACTACCTGGGTGTATGCAGCTCAGGACACAGCTGCCCCTTCCCCTCGGGGGCCTTCGCAGCCTGGGGCTGAGGGCAGCGTCCCTCAGTTGTCCCACCATCCCATTGTCATCTGATGTTCGACCATCGCAGCCCTTGGATCCTGAGACAGATGTGTCAGCCGCGAGGGGCGGGTGTGGAAGGCGCCTTTATACAGAGGAGGCCGAGGTCCCTGACACCACCTCCATGGAGAGACCTCGGTACTATCCCCAAACGGTTCTCCATCATGGCCAAAGAGCATCCAGGACCCGGTCACCAACCGTCAGGCTCTGAGAGCAGGTGTGATGGGTGTGGCCTCATGCAGTCCTCAGGGGAAGCTGTGCCTGCAGAGTCTCTCTCTCTCTCTCTCTGTTCCCCCTTCTTTCTCCCTCTTTTTTCCTTCTTCCCTCCCTCCCTTGGCCTCCCCTTTCTTTTTTGACACTAGGGATTGAACCCAGGGACTTTGCACTGAGCTACACCCCCAAGCCACTTTTATTTTATTTTATTTTTTGAGATGGTTTTTCTAAGCCACAGGGCTCTCTGGGAGCACTAAGCCATTGTACTAGTCACCTTTCCCCAAAATAGCTGACACCTGCAATTTAAGGGGGGCGGTGATTTTGGCTCCAGTTTCCAGTGGGTTCAGTCCATGGTTGGCTTGGTGCAAGGCAGAAACAGGATGGCGTAAGGGCCTGGGTGGAGGAAAGATGCTCACATCATGGCGACCAGAAAGCAGACAGAGAAGGGAGGAGCGAGAGACAAGAACACACACAGTTCAGGTCACATCCAGTGACCTCCAACCAGGCCCCATATCTCAGGATCACATTTAGCTCTGAACTGATGGGTGGATGAATCCATGGATGTGTATAGCACCCAATGATCTGATTACCTCCCTACACACGAGACCTTTGCGGGGCATGTAGATCTGAACCATAACAATCATAACGTCCATATCGGTGCACAACCAGAGGGGTTCCCTCCTCTGGGCGTCCTAGAGCAGCAGATGGGGCTATGCCCACTGCCTGTCCCTACTGCCCTGCCCTGGCCTCTCCTGGTGGCTTCACCTTTGCTTCTGCCTAGAGCAGCCCCTAGTGGGCACAGAGAAGCTGCCCCAGCCCCTTACAGTCACACTAGCAAGTGAGCAGCTGCGGGCCCAGGTCTCCAGGCACAGGGATTCCCAGAAGCCCACGGGAGGTACAGTGTAGCTCCCTGCACAGGTGACGGGCATAGAGGGTAGCAAGCTTGTTCTCCCCAGCAGGCTGTGTGAGGCTCAGCCT